CGATGGCTTATGGGAAGATTACGAAACATTATAACACCAGAAACGAATGCTTCCATCACCGTAATCGATCATTACTTGACATAATACTCAACAATCGAAGGATATTGTTTCTGGTATAGTATTTCATTTCACAACCACCTCAAAGCAAAGTTCTCGGGGCAAACGCGGTGAGGAGAACCCGAGCATAAACACGTCATTTTAAATAACCACTTCATGTACAAGTCACCATTCTCTTGGAGACATACGGGAATGATGAAATTGCCTCATTATCTATTAAGATGGAGTCTAAACTAAGGTAAAGCCTAAGGAGTCACGTGGTAGCAGTCTCGCAGAAACTACAACTAACACACATTTATATGTGACTTTTTCTTACAGTGAGGTTTACCCTGTACAAGGCCTGGAGGCTACTTGAGATAGAGGGTTCAGAATAAGAGGCGCAGTTCATGTGGATATGGTTGGAGAAGATAACGGTTAACCGTAGTCTTGAACAGATTATGATTGTAGCGATCGGGGAAGCATCCTCTTGGGAGTCGGTTCCACAGAGCAGTGGTTCGCGGGAAGAAGCCGCTCCAGAGGAACTTACTTATCCCCAGTGGAATACGGAAGGAAGGAGGGTGGTTTGCGTCTGAGCACTTTCCAAATGTCTTATATGTTTATAGAAAGTTAAAAATTATCTTTATAATTTTAGTGCTATTACTTCTGTTGCTATCACTCTATTAGTATGTAGTAAAATCTCTAATCCTGCTAACTTATATACTACGCCCTTCGGGGACCGTTACACGACAGACAGTTCCAGACTGGATGGATTAAAGGCAGCAGTTGACGAAAAACACTCGAGATTGCTTAGTTGGAAGAATATCGTCTTTCGTCCGGTCAACTTCAGGGATGATAATCAGGTCAAACATATTCCACAGGTAAGACTATCATTAATAATGATACTGTCATCATTAATGACCAGCTTTTCCTACTGCTGGTAATACCCCATAATGTAAGGCTGCCACCATGAGCTGGATAGTTTGGGGACACTTTAATCGAAACCTAACCCTAATCTTGGCATAACCAAACCCACTTACATTCATTGTTTTAGAAGAGAGTAATGCTTCACATCAACTATAAATAAATATAAAATTAAAAAAAAAATGAAAATTTAATTAAAGGAGAGAGCAATTTACAAAAACGAGGGCGTATAGAAAATGCTTCGATCGTTAGTGAATCTGCATCCAGGTTCTTTCAACATTTCACTTTTCTCGGCAGAACTTCTGTGGTCGCAACGTGGAAGGTTTGACAGCAAAAGCGATAAAACAAAAAAGAAAGTCATGAGAAAAAAAGCCGGCGTCATGAGAAAAATAATGTTATTTCAACAAAATCTACATTAGCAACACAAAACGATAATCTCGTTAAGCTGTTGAACGCTAGATTTTTTACTCAGACTGCAAATTAACTGTGTATGTGTGCGTATGTAAGTGTTGTGTGTGTAGACATGTAATAGTTTTAATATGTGTAAACAAATATGCATAGATTTACATTTGTGTGAATTACATTATCTCTTTCAAAAGTAACTGCTTTGCAATGGACGTCCAAGCATGAATAGATGAATGAACTTAATTTTGGATAAAGAAACCTTCGAAAAACAGGAAAAGAGCGTCCGGCTTGAATCCAGATTTATTCCTGAGCGTTGAAACAATTTAGTAAAACCAGAAGAAAAATTGTTCTAATTTCATCAACTTGCAGGCTTTTTCTTATAAAGATATTGACTAATTCAGATTTAACTTATAGCAACATGACTTGTAGATTCGGGCTGTGTCTAACCATTAGACATCAGTTGTTTAATTAGCTCAAGTGTCGTCAGTGGAAGATGAACGACATTTGAGTTGATATTATTTCTTTATTCAGACGTCACCCGTCTTATACACCGCCATTGGCATATATATATATATATATATATATATATATATATATATATATATATATATATATATATATATGTGTGTGTGTGTGTGTGTGTGTGTATTCGAACTTTCACTGATGATTTTTGGTAATATGCATCTCCATGTTACATCATTAATTTGATACAACTTGCTGCTCAATTGTTGCTGAATTGTTTATATTTTATTTTCATATACAACATATGAACATTAATAGTTTATTCTTTATTTTACAGCATTGGTAATGAGTGGTGAAAAATTTGCATTTGCAGCCATTTTACGCGACCCGTGGAAAAAAAAAGGACTGAGTGCTCGGGCAGCGGCAAAAGAAATTAGTGATATGGTAAGTCCAGGAACTCTCAACGAAGGTTTGGCACAAAACTGGTTCAGACGTTTCAAAGAAAGATAACACCAGCCTTGAAGACAAAACAAGGTCAGGGAGACCTTCTGTTATGGAAGCTGAGGCCTTGCTTGAAATGGTTGAACAGTCAAGCACAAGCCCTCGTACATTTTCGGTAGTACTTGGTCCTTCACAAAGCACCATCAATCCACACCTCTATAAGCTTGACCTTTTAAACAGATACTGTTGAGAAGTTCCTCACGAACTGATCAATCACCAGGCTCAACGGCGTGTGAACATTTGCAAACAATTGCTGGCAAATCTTCAAGATGCCTGATGTCGAATTGCAACTAGGGATGAAAAATGATTCTATTTTCGTAAACCTAATAAAAGAAATCAATGGCTTCTTTCCAGTCAGGCTTCAGAATCTGTTGTTAAACAAGTGCAGTTTGAACAGAAGATCATGTTATCTATTTGGTGGAATTTCAAGGGGGCGTTTCTTTTGAGCTTGTCCCAGATGGCCATACCGTTAACACTGACCCTTATGCTCAACAGCTGCGGCGAGTATATGATGCTTGGAAAGCCTGTTACCCGGCATTGGTCAATCGACGACGCACATTCCTAGAGCATGACAATATACCAGTGCACACTGCCGATGTGACCAAGTGTAAACTTGAGGGGCTGGGAGTGTTATCTCAATCTCCCTACTGTTCAGATCTTCCACTATAAGATTACGTGTTTTTTCCGAGCCATGGCTCATTTCTGTCATGGACGGAGGTTCAACAATGGGGATGAAGTTGAAGGATTTTTACGACTAAAACACCCCAAATGGTATAAACGTGAAACTGAAATTCTGGCATAATGATATCAACAGACAATGAAATATGATGGGATATATTTTAATGAATAAACGCCTTTCGTGCGTAATTTGTTTGAATTATTATGTACAACTCTAAATTCGAAAAAAAATGACTCAATCTAATAGTATATAAACACACATACATACAAACTCACACATATATACACACACGTATACATATATATATATATATATATATATATATATATATATATATATATATATATATATATATATATATATATAAAGTATATTTAGTCAGCAAAACTACTTTGCGGTGTTTGTGGTAGATATTCTTGGTATTTATTTATTCGGAAACTTCGGACATAAAACGACTGGATCTCAATGGTATAAAATAAATAATATATTTTTATTTATTTGATTTAGTGTGAGTCCTTTGATATTCGGTGAAGTAAAATGTTCGCTTATAAGACGGATATTGGTCGTAGTCCGGAGAATGTCCGTTTAAGCTCGGTAATGGTTGTTTAGGGGTCAGACCATGGTAGTAGCCATCTTAGAAATAGGTAAGTACCAATCTACTGTGTTTTTCTTAGTCATAAGAAGAACGGAAAATATCATGAGCAGATGACCTTTTAACTAATTCCCGTGTCACGCATGGCTGTTTTCTTTAACGGTACGTTTCTCTTGCTGTCTTGACTAGCTTAGTGCTGTCAGCTCATATACTTTTGACCAGGATCCGAAACTCTACCGCGAACATTGGTTTCGGCTAACATCAAGTCCCTTTGTGTTAATTTTTTAGACTGGCCAAAATTATTTTTATTTCCTTTCTTTTTCATTTTTTTTTTTATAACGGATGTTATGCGTGTAGCCTCTCTTATTGGCAATTTATAGTAAGAAATAAATAGGCTCTAGTCCTACAAACTCCCGGCGTTTTTCGGTCGGGTTCAGTTTTTCTTCTTCATTTGTGGGTTGCCTTCTCATTAGTTGAGAGAGAAGTATATATAGAGAAGTTTAGAGGGAAAGAAAGAAAGAAAGAGATAAGGGTTATTTTTGTCTATATATATATATATTTTTAATATTTGATTTGATTTTTATAGGAATTCACTAAAGCTTAATTTAAACAAATTTTGTTTGTTTAATTCAAATATATATATATATATATATATATATATATATATATATATATATATATATATATATATGCGTGTACGTGTGTGGGTGCTTCTATATACATCTATGACTACATATAATACTTTTTGAATTTGTCTTGATACGAAAGTCCTCATAGCTACCCAAAGAGTATAAAATCAATCGTTAATTCACCGAGTCAAATGACCAGTCCAGATAAATTGGTCTCTACGCCTTCATCCAAGCAGGAACCCAGAATTATTTCGGTTTTATTGAATTTTCTGGCAAGTAAAAACCCGCCTCGCTATCGGCGAATGATTTGCGCCGCTCGCTCGGGGTCAGCAGTTGCGAAAACCCTGGTCACTGTTGGACGCATTCAGATGACAACAGCTCATTAAAAACTATAGACAACCCTTGCTTCAGGTCGTTGTTCACGTCCTGCCGACGCCAGCACCAAAATGGTTTAAACCAACAAGAAAGGATTTTGTTTTTCTGCTGTCTTCAATCTGGTCGTTAATGTGAGCAGGGAGGAAATTGCCGAAGAAAGTTTTATCGTAAAGTTTATGGACTGAAGTCGATGCAATTATGGAATCTCGAATTATGTGCGCTCACAAACAAATTCATGCACAGAGATCGAGAAAAGCGCTAAAACTTAACACACACGCATGTATATGCAGGTTGAAAAAGGCACACGTAGGTACACGCACGGAAAACACGAAATAGAAGGCCATGAAAAATAACGAAAAGGGTTGCGAAATAAAAGGCATTGTTTATTAATATATTTCAGTCTGTTCCAATCTCTCTCTATTTCTATCTCTCTCTCACTCTCTCTCCCTATGTTTCATTCTAATTATTCTTATCTATCTATCTATCTATCTATCTATCTATCTATCTATCTGTTATCACTATTCATATCTATATATCTATCACTATTCATATCTATCTATCTATCTATCTATCAGTTATCACTATTCATATCTATATATATATCACTATTCATATCTATCTATCTATCAGTTATCACTATTCATATCTATATATCTATCACTATTCATATCTATCTATCAGTTATCACTATTCATATCTATATATCTATCACTATTCATATCTATCTATCTATCAGTTATCACTATTCATATCTATATATCTATCACTATTCATATCTATCTATCTATCAGTTATCACTATTCATATCTATATATCTATCACTATTCATATCTATCTATCTATCAGTTATCACTATTCATATCTATATATCTATCACTATTCATATCTATCTATCTATCTATCTATCAGTTATCACTATTCATATCTATATATCTATCACTATTCATATCTATCTATCTATCAGTTATCACTATTCATATCTATATATCTATCACTATTCATATCTATCTATCTATCTATCAGTTATCACTATTCATATCTATATATCTATCACTATTCATATCTATCTATCTATCTATCAGTTATCACTATTCATATCTATATATCTATCACTATTCATATCTATCTATCGGTTATCAGTTATCACTATTCATATCTATATATCTATCACTATTCATATCTATCTATCGGTTATCAGTTATCACTATTCATATCTATATATCTATCACTATTCATATCTATCTATCTATCTATCAGTTATCACTATTCATATCTATATATCTATCACTATTCATATCTATCTATCGGTTATCAGTTATCACTATTCATATCTATATATCTATCACTATTCATATCTATCTATCTATCAGTTATCACTATTCATATCTATATATCTATCACTATTCATATCTATCTATCTATCTATCTGTTATCAGTTATCTCTATTCATATCTATCTATCTATCTATCTGTTATCAGTTATCTCTATTCATATCTATCTATCTATCTATCTATCTGTTATCAGTTATCTCTATTCATATCTATCTATCTATCTATCTGTTATCAGTTATCTCTATTCATATCTATCTATCTATCTGTTATCAGTTATCTCTATTCATTCATATCTATCTATCTATCTGTTATCAGTTATCTATTATTCTATCTATCTATCTATCTATCTGTTATCAGTTATCTCTATTCATATCTATCTATCTATCTGTTATCAGTTATCTCTATTCATATCTATCTATCTATCTGTTATCAGTTATCTCTATTCATATCTATCTATCTATCTATCTATCTGTTATCAGTTATCTCTATTCATATCTATCTATCTATCTGTTATCAGTTATCTCTATTCATATCTATCTATCTATCTATCTGTTATCAGTTATCTCTATTCATATCTATCTATCTATCTATCTGTTATCAGTTATCTCTATTCATATCTATCTATCTATCTGTTATCAGTTATCTCTATTCATATCTATCTATCTATCTATCTATCTATCTGTTATCAGTTATCTCTATTCATATCTATCTATCTATCTATCTATCTATCTGTTATCAGTTATCTCTATTCATATCTATCTATCTATCTATCTATCTATCTGTTATCAGTTATCTCTATTCATATCTATCTATCTATCTATCTATCTGTTATCAGTTATCTCTATTCATATCTATCTATCTATCTATCTATCTATCTATCTATCTATCTATCGTCATATTTACTTATCTACCTAGCACCGACAGCTTGTTATTTATAATTCTCTATGCTTGCAACTTTACATTTTTCTGTTCACCTTTGTTAATTGCATTAATTTATATGCAGGTATGCATGGGTGTATGTACCTGCATCTATTGACTGATTTAAGACTCCAGAAAAACCTATCACTTGAATTCTCACGAATCAAAAGAAAAAGCAAAGAAACTATTAATATTAATATAATTTAATGTTCATTTTAATTATCACTTTCAACCATTTGTTACCAATCCAGTTAAATATTTATAACACGATAAAAATAGTTAAAAATAGCAAACAAATAGTTATTTAATATTTTTCGGTATTCATTATACCCCTTCTTAAACTAAAATATCTCAGTCTATAATATTGACTCTCTTTTTGAGAAAAGCGACATTTGAGAAATGATTTGTTTAAATATTGTTTTGACAAAAGAAAGACAGATTAAAAATAAACAACGTATCCGTGAATGAACGTGAAAACGTTGAATCTCGAATAGCATACGAAACTTCATTTTAACGCTTCATTGCTGTATTGCCCTAAAATACTTCAATCTCAATGTTATTTGAAACTGATTCGTAAAGAGGTTACCTCAAACTCAGAAACAAGTAACTTGTCGCCATTTTGTCATTTATGGACAGCATAAGAAAAAAATCAAAATCTGTTTTCAAAAATCTGGTTCAGGCGTTGTTCAAGCAAAATCCTCCTCCCATTGTCACAATATTTTATTTGAGGTTGATTATTCTCATGTTTCTGCTGCATGCACTTGTCGAATAAATAAAATAAATCGATTCCCTAGATTTATGCTATGTGACAACAAGAATCCTTAATGTAAAAAGGGAAGGTGCTTAAAATAAGTGAAATAAAATTTGCAAAGTAATTCTTATTCTCCTTTTCTTTTAAAATTGTTATTTTGAAGTGTCCATTGCCGTTCTTCAGTGTTTGGGCGAGATTTACACATTACTCTCGACTGCTTGTGATAAATTTATAGATACAGGCGACATTGACGACATTCGGCTTCTAAACCATTATATAATAATATCAAATTTTATTTGAGAGAGATTTCGAAAAACTAGATTGAGCTAGGACCTCCGAGCTGACACCTAGCCTTTGACTACTAAATGGGGTCTTTTCTGTTAATTCACCCTAAATAATGTAAAGTTACTCATCGCAAGTATTATTTCACCCCAAGAAATTATAAATTCTAAACCAAAGTTTGTTTGTTTTTATTAAATTTTTGGCACTCTTTTGAAATTATAAATTTTTAATCAAAATTTGTTTAGCTTGTCCCGCAGCAACTCCAATTCCAGTTCCCAGAATTAAAATTTACCAAAACTCAGGGAGTTATTCACATTTCGTAAGTACGGATGATATTAAGCTTTGTAAAAACATGGCCTGATGATTGCATTCAAGTATGAAACAGATTGTCGCAACTAGATTTTAACCACCTTTTATATTTTTATAATGAACTATCCCTTATATCAAGCACATTACCCTAAATATAGCATAGCCTTAAACTGTATCTTTATCATATATATATATATATATATATATATATTATAAATTAATTGATTTAAAATATGGTTTTTTTACACAGTTCAACCATGTTTCAAAAATAAATAAAAACCCGATTTAATTTTTTGCAATTAAATTAAAAGCATTGTTCCATTTCATCTTCAAGCGAATTTTTCTTGAAGATGAACTAGTGCTTTTAATTTAATTGCAAAATTAAATACGGGGTTTTAGCTTCTATTTTTGAAACATGGTTGAACTGTGTAGCGGAAAAAACATATTTTAAATCAATTAATTTATAATATTAATGCTCTGTAAATTTACATTGAGCACTATTTTGTAAAATAAAAATATCTATAAGAACACCGGATTTTATATCTTACTGTTCTTTCTTTTTTTATATATATATATATATATATATATATATATATATATATATATATATATAAGAGAGAGAGAGAGAGAGAGAGAGAGAGAGAGAGAGTGTGGTGTGTGTGAATATAAAAGAGAAGATTGAAGTCAACACTTAGAGGCGACAGGCTGTTTCATGCGAGACGCAATCGTCAGGGCTGAGCGTTGACTTCAATGTTCACTTTTATGTTCACACACGCTCTATCTCTAATATATTGAGCACTTTATCCCATAAATATAGCACAATTGAAGAGTATATATATATATATATATATATATATATATATATATATATATATATATATATATATATTTTGTGTGTGTGTCTGCAGCGCGCGCGAGAGAGAGAGAGAGATACAGACAGAGATAGATAGATAAGAGGCACGGTGTAGTAATGTTAGCGGCTTGGATTGAGGAACCGGAGAGCCGAGTTCGAATTTCTGTTGAATCTATTACATTCACTTACGTGCTAATACCCTTGAGAAAGGTATGAATGCTCTTCTTCTCTCACCAGCTAAGGGTAAATAACAGGACAGACCAGTTGCCTTGGATAGCAACTGGTCTAGAAAAGCGTAGACACATGTCCCCCACCATATATATGGGGGGGACATGTATCTGCTTGTGTGTGTGTGCATGTGCCTGCTTGTGTGTGTGTATATATAATAACAAGTTTTTTTGACGCTGAACAAAACCCGTCGAGAATTATCTGTGTTTGATGTGCGGATCTATGTGAAACTCTAAGACAAAAGATAAGTAATTTAACATTTTATTTATCGATTCATTATATAGAGAGAGTGAGAATGGGGAGGAAACATTTTACTGTGCATAGATTATTCTATATTACAAGGAATAAGAAGAATATACTGAGGCAATATTTATGCAGACAGAAGCTGTCTACATTCAAGATATATATATATATATATATATATATATATATATATATATATATATATATATATATATATATATATATATAGAGAGAGAGAGAGAGAGAGAGAGAGAGAGAGAGGACCGACAAGGTGCTGCGGTTACGTTTTATAATTTTCATGTGTTCGCATAATGTTTTTTCTTTTATGAACATAAATTATATAAAAAACCTTAATTACAGTACCTTTTGTCAGTTATTTTTAACGAAACTTGATTAAAAGAGGGATTGTTGCCCAAATTATATATATATATATATATATATATATATATATATATATATATACATACACGCACTCTGACATTTATAATCATACGATAATTCGCATTTCACTCTATCTTTAAATCGGTCATTTGACGCAAAGCGATAATTTCACTCCCGCACGAATTCATTTTTCAATATAAATAAAGCAGTCAGCTATTAATAGTGGTAAACAGTTTATCTATATATTTTTAACATGATTAAGCATCATTTATATTGACTGTGTTTTTCCGATCTTGTCCATCGATTTCGAACATCCCTTTTTGTCTATCATAAATAACTCGGTGGTTGAATGTGTAGCTTGACTGATGTCCAGTTTGAAAGAGCCATTGACCTTTAATAAATTGTCTGTGATAAGTTAGTGTCCGTCTGGTAGGGGCATCAACTGGCTGTCAGTTAGTCGGACTTCATTTCGACCGGTTTTCTTATGTCGTTTACTTTTTCAGTAATAGCCACTCAAGATAGGTCATAGAGTAAGCGGTAAGAAGCGCGATTTATTAGGATAACGTTTAAGCCTAAACTTAGCAGTTGCTTCCAGAAAGTAGCAGTTCATGAGAAAAAGCTGTTAGAGTGGAACTTATATTCTACCAATGGAATACAGAGAGAATAATCATGGTGGTTCGCATGCGTGGCATAGCGGGTCTAAGCTGTGAAGGTTAGAACTGGTTGAACCAAGGGATATCCTTCATCTGAACATTTTCCATAGAAATAGCGATTGAGTAGCTAGAGATCTGCAACGTTTTGTTTGGGAGAAATTAGTTGTAGGATGTAAAATAATTAATCACCCACAAGGCCGTGTAGATGCTTCTGAACTCAATCCAGACGAGAAAGTGAAAACTGGGAAACTCCTGACAATATATGGAAGTAGTACTCCATTTTTGTCGTTATCAGGCTCTTGTAAAAGGTAGTTCAACTCGTAAAGGTTCTACGAGATCCATTTGAGGTCTGGGACAATCTTAAGTCCCAAACACGATCTCAAGGCACCTCCAGAGAGAAAGACCTTTCATCGCGATAAATGAAAATTCAGGGTCCACTCGGTGATGATGAAACGTCACTAGTTGTTTCTTGGGGCATGTGAATGTGATCAGCCTGTTTTCCCCTCTTAGAGCTATATCGGGTGGGAGAGATCAGCTGCCAAGGGCTGGTCATCTAGAATTTAGAAGATTCACCTATACATCACTGTATCATCGTCATAGATATGTACAAAAGATCGAAGTATACTCCCCGGCACTTCATTAATGCAAAGTAGAAACAGAGTTGAACCGGGAAACTAGTCTTGCGAGGCGGTAGTCGGGTGGGTAAACCTGCATTGACTACATGGACCGTTAACAACTACTTTCAGGGACCTACCCATTAGAAATGAGTTGATAATTGAGAAGACTCCTCCAGCGATTCCATACCTGGAGAACTTGTACATCAAATGCTAAATAATAGTTTCTAACTATTATTATTTAGTGACAGTGTGTTTTGGCTCAGACCTTCTAAGGCTGACCTTTAAGGTCGGATGGTAAGCAAAATAGGAATGTCGATTTTAATTGGCTGAGCCTAACGTGGGAATGTAGGAGAGATAGAAAGTGATTTCAATGAGTTAAGTTTTACACGTCGACGAATGCAGACGCTTTATTTTCGTGTATGGAAACTGCTCCCCAGTGGGAATGGATAACAACGCCACTGGTGAGTTAGAAGATGTACAAATCGACGTGTTTAATAAAAAATAGAAAAGTTTGAAATCCCGTTTGTTGAAATTCTCATTTTACATTCGAACAAACCAACTAGCGATCATCTGGCCGAGAGAAAAGAAGACAACTTTATTAGGATCGCCTCGAGACGGTCAACCAAGAGAACGAGGGGGCTATGCAACATTTTGCTTAATTGGCGCAGTGGCAAAGACCTCCCCAAAAGAGAGGGGGTATACAACACAACCTTCTATGCCACGCTTTGTCAAAGGTTTTCGAAATATCTAATCCGATCGTCATTGAGATGTATTTATTGTCTCGTGCCTCACTGATTCTGATATTAGCAGTGGACCGAGCTGATTGTAATCTGTACTCTTTGTCTCTCAAGGAGTTGTCTCTATTGAGGTGATTAACAACCTTCTTGTTGATTATAACCTTAAAAACTTTGTTAATTATGCTGAGGAGGTTGAGTCGCGGATGAGCGCTCACTCACATTCTTGAAAGCAGAGTATATACTTAACACCTTCCACAAACTGACGTTTTAAAAGTCCCATTTACATTATGTTGATTTTGGAGGTGTAAGTTCGAGATCAAATTACCAAGAATGCTGAGAATCTAGGCGGTTAGATTTTCATCATTAAATTATCGATACAATAGAATATATTATAGAATATATTCATATAAATGTCAGCTTTTTCGTAATTACTTTCGGGTTAGACTCTCCAGTAACTGCGCTATGTGTGTTGCTTTATTTCTTGGCTCCAATGTTAATTCCGTGCAGGTAGTGTGTGTGTGTGTGCGTGTGTGTAGAGTTTGGTGCGCATGCGTACTTGAAAGCAAATTAAGAAATTTAACAACAAAATTAACTAAGGGTATACAAAGGATAGGAGAGCCGTGATCGCCCAGGAAGGGATACAGCACAGCACGAAGAAGAAGAAGAAGAAGAAGAAGAAGAAGAAGAAGAAGAAGGGTGGATGTTTTGGGGGTGAAAACGTGCAAGTAGAAAACAATTGTTTGTTAGGGTTTGAGAAGTGACTTTTCGTGTGCCATAGGGAAGACGCATATTCACAAGCAGACAATAGAAGGATTTGCTTTTCAAAACACACTCATAAAAATATTTGCACAAACACGAACATTTTTCATCTCTCTCTCTTTCTCTGTAATATTCACACGCAGGCTTACACAAATACAGTAACATTTTAAAACATTCACACAAACGATTATGCAAACATACACAGCGACACATTTATTTTACCGAGTTTGGTATAGTTTAGCGTCACATTTCCCATTAATCTTCCAGTAGAGTTAACCAGCTTGTTCGGAAATAACCATGGCAGAATTTGGTCTGGGGTCGAACATTAATTAATGGTGCGAGTGGGAAATGCATAAAAACCTCAGCCACCAGTCTACGTATGCATATATATGGAGATAGTGTTTAGTTTATTATCTGAGTTATTATATGCCTGCAAGTATGTGTATATGAGAGTACTATAAGCACACACACACACACACACACATATACATACATATTTGGGAAAACAAGGTATAATGTTTTTTTTTCTATCAAGAACAATTTTTTGGAACAAATTCTGACAGAGTAGGAAAAATTATCGCGTGATACGTTTCGTCATTTAGGATTTCAATCGATAGATCATCTACAGTAAATATACGTCGAGGTTCCCATTTCACCTTTCTTGTCAGATCTTCAATGATAACAATGTGGGATATTTAATAACAAAAGTGATAGAAAAATAAACAAAAAGAAAAAAGAAACTAACTGAAATCGGCTAGACTATATACAAAAACATACAAGTTAAAAAAATTCAATTATCAGCGTATCCTTTCTTTCGCACGCATGTGCAAACGCATCAATGTAAACTTCACTTTAATCCGGCGAAGTCCTAAAGAACGAAAAGCGTCGCACGAAAACCTTTTCCACTTTGTATATATATATATATATATATATATATATATATATATATATATATATATATTCACTAAAAATGAGCATACATGATGGGAAAAATGGCCAAAACAATAAAAAAAAATTTTATTAGCAAAATCATAACGTTATTTTTTAAAGAAGGTTTAGATTATTAAATTAAATTTTTTATCCTTTTAGAATCTTCAAAATGTTGGTTATATATATATATATATGTGTGTGTGTGTGTGTGTGTGCGTGTGTTTGTGGGTGTCAGCGAGCGACCATAAATTAGTATGAGATAATTTTAGCTTCTTTTTGCAGTGAAAATACACTGATTTGTAAATTCTTGCAAAAATCAAATAATTGTTTGGTTTTAATGAAACTTTCAATACTTATTCAGATCTGAATTAAATTATTTCGGAAAGGTTTCCTTTTGGGAAAATCTTGGTAAAAATATTTTTTAAATCTATTTAATTTAATGAAATTTCAAGAAATTCATTTTTGTAGTGCTTAATGTTTATATTTGCTACGAGCATAGAAGCCGCCCTTCGGCTGTCTTTAATCTCGCGCCTAAGGATGACTTTTGTGTCTTCGGCCTTTTACTTTCAGCGTCCTATTTATGTAAACGTTATAAGAATTCAGGAATAATAAAATGAATTTATCGTTATTCGACACCTTAATTCGGCATAATCATTCTTCGTATACACAACAAATCTCCGCAGTTTGTTTACAATTATTTTGCGCGCAATTTTTATTTTCTTTTAAAATCACTATTCTTTTTGATCCCTTCATATAAAGTCACTCTTAAAAGACTCTAGGGAATCCGAATTATGTAATATTTCGAATACGTTACAGTACTCGTGCTAGAAAAAGAAAAGAATATGAGCAAAGTGTCCCGCTTAAGTTTTAATTACGGTTAGATGATGTCAATTGCGATTGCGACGAAAAGCGAAATTAAAATGAAACCTTTAATAAAGAATTTTTTAACCCTTTCACTCTGTTCGATATTTAAATTTAACTTTAAATAAGTTATTTATTTCATTTTTAATCACGTGTAACTACAGTACCTGTTACTTCATTCAGGTAGTTTATGATTCACCGAGATGAAAAAAACGGACGAACACACGTACACTGCGATTTAATTATATAGATAAGCACAAGGCCTTGGAAAATTTAAATCATCATTTTTACAGAAATCGGAAAATAAAAAAATACAAGGAAACAAAGACATTGTTTAATTTAGAAAAGCTTTTAATTGCGTTTATGAATACGTTATATTATGGACACAATTGTCTCAGGTGAAAATTTTCAATAATAATTATTTTTCCGACAATTGTTTTTATTTTTTTTTTAAATTTTGATTATAATAATTTATAAAGTTTGAAATCTTTTAAAATACTGTATTAATTTGAATCAATTTAAGTGATATTGTAAGTGATATTATTGATATTTCAAGTAAAAGAAGTTAAGTAAAAGAAAATTACGTTGTGCTTAGAGAATTGTAAATATGGCTAAAATTAGCCATTTTTAAAGATTATAAAAGAATAATTCCACTCGACTTATATTCGTTTTGAAATAGAATAAAGTATTTAACTTATTGAAAATATTAAATTTAATCGATTTTCATTTTAAAAAAATCTTTTTAAAACTTAGGTATCAATTTTCTTTATATCTTTATATATATATATATATATATATATATATACACACACACACACACACATATATATATATATATGAGATAAAATATAATAAAAGTGTTCAATATCAGGGATAAAGTGTGTGTATATAAAAGAGTGGACAATAAGTCAGTGCTTACTCTTATACATATTTAATTATTCAAATTTCCAAATTAGGTGTTTTGATAGACATAACTTGTTCTTATTACTTCAAAACAACTAATTCAAAAATTTGAAAATTTGTCCATATTATTTAACCAAATATGTTTTACACACACACACAAACACATATATATATATATCAAAAATATATATATATATATATATATATATATATATATATATATATATATATCAAACATAGTCTCATCGCTGCTAGGATGTTGATATCAGTGTCCACTTTTATATTTACATACGCTCTATCCATTATATTGAGCACTTTAATCCATAAGAATAGCGTACCTTAAAACTGTATTTTTTTATATATATATATATATATATATATATATATATATATATATATGATAAAGTGGAAAAAGTTTTCATGTGGCGCGTTTCGTACCTTAGAACTAGGTTTGTTTCTGCGCATGTGACTGCTCATACGCACATCTTCAAAAATATTTTCTAAATTTAAAAGAGAGAGAGAGAGAGAGAGAGAGAGAGAGAGAGAGAGAGAGAGAGTGAGGAAGTGAGTGAGAGAGAGTGAGATAATTTTCAAATGAAAACAAAGTAACCTATTGTCATTTGGAATTTGTGATACCGGTTTCTAGTGTTAGTCACTAGAGCCATACCAAATTAATTTGTACAGAAAAGTCAAACACCTAAAAATATTTAAGCACAAAAATTATACAAGACACACATTGTATGGATGAGACGGTGTGTATGAGCGTTATTTGTGTCGGTTAGAGAAGACTTGATACAAACAATGTGAAATACGGTGACAAAAGAAGTTGTCAGTTCCTTGAATTTGTCCGTTCAGTTTGACCCGTCTTGTGACTGAAGAAGAAGGGAAGTGACCGTAGGCAATCCATCCTGGCCATAATTAACTTCGACATAATAGCTTCTCTATCCGTCGTCAATTGTAAGAAATAGATGGCAGTTATCTTTACACATTAATTACACCGCCAATCATCTTAATGAAGACAGTCCAGCAGTAGAGTACTTGAAGCATGTGAAGAGGAAGTGAGGGCGATTCTGCATGAGTCTCTTTAGAAACCATCTAGTTTTATACATTTGCATCAATCCTCAAATAGTATTGAGTTGATTTTCAGTCTGATCAGACTCCGTTAGGGAACATTGAAACACCCGTTCTCATACGATCATTGAAGTTAAGCTATGTCGAGTTTGGTCAGTATCTAGATGGGTTACCGCTTGGAAATACTAGTTGCTGTGAGCTTGGATGTGTGGATGGTGTAATGGATAACGGCTCGTAATCAGAGAGCCGAGTTCAAATTCCGGTCGTCTTCGTTATATTAACATACACACAACTATCTTTGGGAAAGATATGTATCCACCTCTTCTTCTCCACAGGTATGGTTTAATTAATATGATTTGTATCAGCAAATCATTGTTATCTCCAAAAAATTCTTGGATTCTAAAAAAAAATTATGCTATCTAAGAATAAAGTGTCGCTGCTGACACTTGAGTTTGAACAGAGATCGCCAGTGAGCAAACACAGGCGATCCCGTTATTGAATTAAGTAGACCACGTGACCACAGAGGAAACGCATATATGGAAGGTAGCGTGTACCTAATTGATCAGCAATTCTAATCTGTTCTCTATACTATACGGATCGCTATTTTTATTCTATCCTTAGCAGGAGATAACTGATAACTGACATCCATCAAACATGGCACGTGGAATTAGAACAGTCTACCCCAGTGATCGAAATAAAGGGTTCAGTTCGAAATTCCAACCACCTGAAGAAGGCCGGAGCGTACAACGGCCGAAACGTTGTGACAAATATGGCGACAAAGATGAGGACAATAGTCCGACTAATGTAAATACTGTACATAATACCTCATCTCAGAAATATAGACAAACTATTCTATCCTCTATTAATATTCGGACCTCTATTCTCTTCTCTACATTATCCTCTATTCGGATCAATACGGTGGTTACTTGTCGAGCGAGTATTATCGAACAAGTACTATCAGCTTGAGTGCCATTCGAAGGCGTCTGATACCAGCATTGTTCAACGGCGTACTATAGTTGTATCTGCGATTACAAAGGCTCTACTACAACGAGCATTACGAAAGTGACGACGAATATTCGTTGACATTACAAAAGTGTCAAAGGAGTGTTCGTTGACATCACAAAAAATTTTTCTGGCTTTAAATAACTTGCAAATAAGCCGTAAAAACAAAGAAATCAATCAACCGTTGGAGAGTTAAAGTCACCCGAAACGGATCATCTATGAAGTAACGGAAGCGATTGACATAAAGCACTTTTTTTTTCTGTTAAAAATAAACACCGTGAACATTGCATTATATACCGTAGAAAAACTATCAGCTAATGGAGGGATGGGTACAGTATACATATCCTTGATTTGAGTATGTGATAAATATCGCTATTATTACTCAATTAATCACACAACTTTCTTGCTATTTGTTCACATGTTAGCGTTGCAAGTATAGCAGAACAACTTTCCTGAAGACATTCAAAATGTATCCAGCAGCCAAGTAGCATACACGGCATAAGTTGCAAATATCGATTTGTTTTCTTCGAGGTATCGTACTTCTCTGAAGAATTCTTTTGAGTTTAATAATAACCGGATCCCATTCGAATGGTGCACTGGTTCTGTGGAGCCTAATCACGGAGTTGTTTGCTTCCAGAAAGCAGAATTTTCTGAAACTTTGGTAAATTGCTTTCAAGGATAATTACAGACGTTCTTGGTTTCCAATATCGGAAGAAGGATACAATCGGTAAATTTGTCGAACCAAGATGTCAGCAGGAGGAGGAAGAAGAGGAGGAGGAAGGGATGTTGGTCGATGGAGATGTCACCATTTCTCAGATTTACGGATAGAGTAAGCAGACACCAAGTCCTATCCACAAATTGACCAATCAAATAATGACAAAGTGACGCCTTCGTTCACTGAAGTGGAATAAAGAAATATTTTGGAAAGAAAGAATGAAGATTAATAAAGAGGAAAGAAAGAGAAAAACGAAAGTGAAGAAGAAAAACGAAAACAAAAGAGAAGAATAATTCGTATAAATTAACGCTAATTAACGTAAGAGAAAAAAAAATGGAAATGAAAGTAAAAATGCGGAAATAAAAATAAGAGTAAAGCCAAGATGGAAGAATGAAGACCCGAATGAATGTCGAAAAAAAGAAGGACGATAAAAAAAGGAGAATGTCGTGAAAAAAGAAGAAGAAAGAACGGGGGGGAAAAAAAGAGACAAAGAAAATGCATTAAAATAATGTTTTTCTTCTTTTATTTGCCGTGTTCCTTCAGGACGTAGGGGTTATAGCCCTCCACATCATCCTGTCCCTTGTAGCTATTTCTTTTTGGTATTTCTTTTAAACCCAGTTTTGCTAGCCATTTACTCAAGCCCATCAAGTATGTTACATGCTGCTTTCCTCTGTACCTCTTTTCCTCAGTCTGTCCTGTGAGTATCAGATTTTCCAAGCCCTCCTTCCTCATGACATGCTCCAGAAATTTCAACTTCCTCTTCCTGATATTAAGCATAAATTTTCATTTTGTTTCCATTCTCTTCAAAACCTTTTTGTTGTTCATATGTTCGGCCATGTTGGTTCAAGTCTCTTCTTCATCATTGAGGAGATTGTCCAGCATTCACTGCTATATAGGAGGACAAATATCACGTAACATTTCAGTACTTTTTTCTTTGTTTCTAACGAAATTTTTCTGTCTCTTAATACTCTGTTTAGCTTTTGGAATGCATCTTTGGCCATCCTAATACGTATTCGGTTTTCAGTGTTAGAACAGATATTTAAATTTCTGCGCCTGCTTTATTTTATTATCTCCGATCTGTAATTTATATCTTGGGATCATTCTTTTGCTGGTAACCATGCATTGTGTCTTCTTATAGGTTACACATAGTCCTTTCTTCTCTCTTTCGTTCGTTACCTTCTGTAGGAGGTTTTGTAGTTTTCTTTCCGTGTCTACTATCAGCACTGTGTCATCTGGGCTAGCTTGCAAAAAAAAAAAAAAAGAACAGTAAGAAATGGGAAAGAAAGAAATAAATAAAGGAAGGAAGGAAGGAAGGAAGGAAGGCAGAGTAGAGAAGAAGTGTGAGAAAAAGAACAGAAGAGCGTTAAAATTGAACAAAATGAAAAAATACGAAACTACTAGGCTGGCATCTCGGCCCCACTTCACTGTTCATTGTCAAAATGGTTAAATGTAGCCGTCTCTTCTTCTCAAACAGCTTCTTCTCCTGCACTTCCCGTCTGTGGAACTCACTTTATCTTACTTGTTTCCCCGATGACTATAATCTTCAAATATTCAAGTGTAATGTCGATCGACGGAGCTTGTTTTCCCGTCCTTCTCGGTATTCTGCCATCAAACACGCCTTTTAAATCTTGTTCTCAATCCTTTGTAAACCCTTGCGTGCTAGTGGCACTCCCGCCTTGCACGGGGTGAATTGCCTTTAAAAAAAAGTGTTGAGAAAAGTAATACGAAAGAAATTCAAGATCAAGTAAGAAAATTAAAAGAAATTATACAAATAGAAAAAATACCAAAAGGAAGAAACGAAGAAAAAAAGAAAAAGTTAATGACGCAATGTGGTAAGCAATGAAGAAAATGAACAAGAGGAATATATATATATATATGTATATGTGGTATCCGTCGGTCTCGAGAGACAATAGCTTGCCGTCCAAAGAGTTAGGGCTCAGCTGATGGCGGCACAGTATTAGTTACAGTCTCGATTGCAACGAATGCATATAAAAACGCTCTCAGCCGATGCCGCCGTGTTGTTTTTTCCTTCTAGCATGCTTCTCCTTAGCAGCAAGCCCTTGTTTTTTCTCCCCTCGTTCAAGCTTTCTCGAGGGTGAGCGGTCGTGTGCGACGTCTTCCCACTTCTCGATGTCCATGTCTTATGAAAATTTTACTTTATTATTTGTAAAAAAATATTTAAGATCTATGTATAATCGTATAGGTTGCTTTCTTTATACCTGTTTTGATAAAAGTGTATTCTTATGAAGGCCAGATGCTTTGTGTGTTGAAATTTGTGAAAATTTTATGGCTTTTTGGGCTCAGGCGGTCATACTACCAAGATTATTTGATTTATTTCGGATCATTTTTTTTCATATAGATTGGCCAATAAGAAATAGGTTTTCAGGCCCTCGGGAGATTTTAGCTGAAGTCGATATGATGGCCACTTTTTCAATCAAAAGGACTGCTATCAGCGTATGAAAGGAAGGACAGACAAGAAAAAGAATGTGCCGTTGACAATATCAGAAAAGAGATCAGAGGCTCAGAGAGGAAGAGAAAGGGGCAGGGAAGAACAAGTTAGGTTGTCAACATCAAAGAAGTCACCAGTTACCTGTCAGCCGCGGAGAGACCAAAAGTTCAAGTGAAAATTCTCCTATGGTTGTCCAGCCTAAAACGAAAAGATTTTTTAAGCATTTCACCACAAGCAAGGCAGGTGTGCCACTAGTACGCAAGGACCTACAGAAATTGAAAGTAAGGGAAACGACGGTGGTATAGGGGGATGGGGGAAAGGATAAAAGAAGAACGGGGAAGGATAAAAAGATGAGGCGGGGGGTCAAGGCATCAGATGTCGATTGATAATACATTTAAATATTTGAAGATTATAGTTATAAGGGAAGCAAGTAGGAGGAAGGGAGTTCCATTGTCGGGAAGGGCGAGAGAAGCTGTTGGAGTAGAAGAGGCGGTTACATTTAACTGATTCGACAGTAAAAGGGTGGGACCGTGATGCCAACCTAATAGCACGTTTAAATTCATGCAGTTGGGGCGTTGTCATGAAAATATTTATAGAAAAGACAGAGGGATGCCACATTAGGTCGGTGAGTCTAGACCCCAAGTCAGGACCGTTCACATTTCATACCCATCTTTGGATCTTGTCGGGAACCTCGTGATGAAGAGGAGGCGGGAACCAAATCATATATGGCAACAGTATTCCATGCATGGAAAAATAGTTGATTTGTAGATGTGAAGGATGGACCTGGAGGAGAAAAACCTTTTGGCGTGACATCAACTTTCCTTGCAATAGATGCAGCTATTGATTCAATGTAGTAGCTCCACATCAGGTCAGTGGAAAACGTAAGACCAAGAAGGCACAGAGAGGCGTTCACGTGGAGTTGAGCATCATTCAATTTGACAGGAGGCAGTTTTTCTGTGGTGAGTAATTGAGAACAGTTTCGTTTTGGATGCCTTAAAATTCACAAGCCATTTCCTGCCCCAATTAACAACA